AATTATCTCCCTCGTGTACGGGTGCGGCCTCCCTCCGCAATTGATCGAGTTCCCCTCTGTCCGTTTGTTCTTGCGCTGCTCTGTTTCTTTTTCTCTGTTGGCTGCGTCTTTTTTTCTTTCTGGCTGCGTGGGTTGCGTGATTAAGTCTCCAGCCAATATATATTCCTTGCGTGAGTGGCGTGTTGGGAAAATAATTCCTAGGCTTCTATTATTCCTTCCTCTCTGTTTCTTTTTTTATACCCCAAAGTCCAACAATTAATTCTTTTGACTTGGTCCACCCAGGCCCACTTCAGCTTTATTAATTGCAACCCACTTGGATTAATTCTTCTGCCATATTCGTGAAATGCATTGGGCTTCTTCATGTGTATGGGCCTGCTGACCAGTACGGGGGTAGCTGGGTCAGTACTGGGCGACCCCGTACTCGCTGATAACACTTCTTTGTCCTTCTTCCGAGCACGCACACCTCATCGTGCAACATAAATAGCTCCAAAAGCACTGAAAATCACTCAAAAACTCATCAGAGCACGAGAGTTGATCAGAATATCAAATAAGTCGAAAGATACATAAATGCGGGGAATTAAACGTGCACAATTGTCACATTAGATGATTAAATGCAAGCACTTTCCTCGACTAATCACCAGAATCGAACAAAAAAAAAACAGGTTCGGTTAACACATAAATAATTGCAAAAAGAACCGAACCGGTTTATAACGGTTCGGTTTTTTCGGGTATTCGGGTAATCGAATAATAAAAAATGCCGACACTAACCGGTTTTGAGTTAAGAACCGGTCAAAAAAATGCAACTCACGGAATAAAAATATCATGAAAAACAGAGAACCGAATGCAAAAATGAAGAACAGAATATTAAATACAAGAACCGGAACCAATTCATATATATAAATATATAAAACATGCATATTTTCACATATATAATCGGTTCCTCGGTTAATACGTATACACTTGGAAAGGAACCGGGAACCGGAACCGAAACATGCAAAAAATAACTGAAAATCGAAAAAATAGTTTTTTTTTTAAATAACCGGACCGAACTGGGTTCGGTTCGGTTCGGTTCTATGGTTCTCGGGTATAAAATCCCACCCCTAATTTTTTTTATGAAAGTTAAAATCTTTTGTTGTAGTAGCCTTTTCTATCTCATCTTTTCTCTCCAACAAACGAAGCAAAGCGAAGTGAAGTCATAGAAGTGATTTTTTTAAGTAAGACCCCGAAAGGGCATACTACAACATAAATTACTTTAGGTAGCAACATTTATTGTAATACTTTACAAATTATTATAAGTTTATGTATCATATTATTGGTTTATGAATCATATTATTGTAACACTTTTAATATAAGTGTACAAAAAATTAGCAAAAGTATCATATAAATGTTACAAAAAACTACTAAAAGTATTACCTTTGACTTTAGGTAGCACAACAAACTGCAACGCCAATATTGTGTTACCTATTGTCTATAGTAACATTTTATAGTTTTTACGTATCATTTCTTTGGTGCTATCTATAGCCATTTATGTTGTATTGAATAACTACAACAAAAGCCTAATTTTAAGGCAAGATCCCAACCTGTATATAATCAGACCCAAAATGGGCAGGAAAATCACAGATCTACAAGTTCAAACAGTAGGCAATGTTTATAGTTCAATATATTTTTTTATTGGAATACAAATTAAAATTACTTTTTCCTTGATAATTACAACCACTAGAATTGTCAAAATTCAACTTAAATACCAAAAATTCGTTGAAATTATAATTGAAATTTTCTAATGAAAAATATAATATTGTAATAAACGTTGTAATTGTCGTTAATACTATATAAAATATCATTGTTGGAACTTTTAAAAATTTTGTAAGATGTGATTATATTCCAGTAGTGACTGTTTCACGCAACTATTCGTGAAATATACGCATCATAACTCGTTAATCATGACTTGTTGAATGGTATTGTAAGAAACAGGGGCAAGACGTGTGCGATCCCACGCACATGAAGCCCCTCATTTGTGAGTTCTTAATAAGAAGCCCAAGCCTATATACAGAGCTGAGTGCCCCAACCCCTACTAGAAACAGGCTCCTATAAACGGGTACGTGGGCCCAAGCCCTACCAGAAACAGGCTGGGTAAATGGGTACGTCATTGCACAGTCCCAATAGAATCGACTCTGATACCATGTAAGAAACATGGGGAAAACGGGTGCGGTCCCACCGACTCTGATACCATGTAAGAAATAGAGGGAAAACGGGTGCGGTTCCACGCACGTGAAGCGCACCATAAGCATGGAAAGCCCAGATGAAGCTCAAATGAGGTTCTATCCCAAACCAATTAATGGAAGGAGGAGTAGCCCATTAGACTTATAAATTAGGCTTATTTTTCATTTATAAACGATGTGGGACAACTCACAAATGATAACTGTGATATTCTAACAGGTATTAAACCAATTTAGCAAAACTAGCTTAGTATAATAATATGACCATTTGGATTAACCGAGTGCATTGCATCACTGATTTATAGCGGCCCAAGCAGCTCGACTCAAAACCCAGTGATCCGGTTTGCAAAGCGGGTCGAAATTATATGTTTATACGTTCAATGAACTGGCCCAACGGTTCAAGGCTGGTTCGAGCTTGAGACGGAAAAATTGAAATATATTAATAAAGAAATAAATAAAATCAAAAAAATAGTTAAAAATTCAAATTATTGATTAGAATTTTGTTGTCTAACCGTCTGGCAGGTTCCGGTTTAAAATCGTAACCAATGGTTTAATTTTTTGAAAATATGAACCAAAATTAGCCCGATAAAACGAAGGACCAGTATACGAACCCTTGTCAACGATCCGGACGGGTTCCGAATCGTAACCATATAAATAATCAAATAAAATTTATTTAAATATAAAAAACTTATAAACTAACAAAATAAGTTACGAGATAATAACAAACTTGGCTAGTACACTCTTGAGTATGAGAGAATTAGAACAATCGAGCTATAAAACTTTCCACCAAATGGTAATAAACAATGCGTGGTGCACTTAAAAAAACAATTGTTTTTGTATCAGTATCAGACTAAATAATACTTAAGAGTCAACAACGTTATCAACAAAAATTGCACTCTTTCACTAAAAAAAAGTAAAATAATCAAGTAAGAAAGAACAGGAAAACACGTAGCATATATTGTATTTGTATGATTCATCCCAACCCGAAACACTTTCCCCCAAATAGCGTCCATACATGATATTATATGACCATGCATTTAGGTTAATAAAGTCCATTGCTAGTGCTACAAAAGAAAAATATTACACATAAAATTTAGTAATAATAATAAAAATAAACAAAATAAAACTTGAAAAAAAGCTTGCTTCAACTTCAAGTCTTCAAGTGATAACCGAGTTGTAATGACGGTGAAGGAGACAACTAAAAAGACCAAACAAAATTAAAATTAAAATTCATTATTTTTACTATAGTACTTATATATATACATATAATATTTAAATATATAAATATAAATATAAATATAAGGAGATGAAAATTTAAACATGATATACCAACCCCAAAAGAGAGCAATAAAAACTCCATTACCCCACCTCCATTAATGCCCTCAAACCATCTCTACACCCTCTGCAATTACTCCTCATCCTCTTCATACCAATTTTTTTTTTCTCTCTCTCTTCAACATAATGAATTCTCTCTCCCTTTCTCTCTCTTTGGCTCTACCATTTTTCCTTATTTTCCATCTTTTGAGATAAATAATTTTAATTTAAATTGTCCTTTTCTTGCTATTTCATCCCCATATGCATGCCTGGAATTCTTCATAAATTCTATTCACGAGAAAGGCACCATCTGCAATAAACCTTAGACCAAAAGGAAAAAGAAAGAGAGAAAAAAGGAGAAACAAATTTTCTCCAGGTTCAAAAAGACT